TATTCAATGTCCACAATATTAGGGAATTGAATTAATATTTTCTACATACAGGGTGATATGAAAAAAACTGCAACCAAATTCAGTGCTGTCATTTCTAAGCCACTCATCCGACAGCTGTTAAAATTACTCCAGTGACAGCTTATTATATTGTTTACAAGCGTACAAAGGCATTTTGGTGAGAATTTTCCAGAAAAAAATTTATTCGTGATGGAATTCAAGTGTGATTTCTTTATATTTGGCTGGAAAACCACAAGTGGCTATCGTTAGAGCACTCCAGCAGAAAGGGTTCGAAAAGTAAAGAAGCGACTTGATTGAAACCCGCGTCGCGGTGGCTGAAAAGTGGCTCGTGAGCTGAACATGTCGCAATATTCCATTCGGCAAATATGGCAAAATGAGCCCATTAAAATTCCAAAAAGTGCAAGAACTTACACCGCAACAGAAAGAAAATATAACAAGTTAAAAAGCTGCCGGGCCGAACTTGGAAAACCCTCCACCATATAGAACGAATTTGGAGATAAAATCCTTAAAAAAATTGTTAACATTTTAAAAATACCGAATATAGCCGTTATATAGGTGTCTATACGACATGGACATTGTTTGTCATAAGTCATTACCATATTCAAATTCGAAACTTGAAATAAACGGTGAATAATGTAGCAAAAATCATCATAATCATTCTGTCATAGGCTGTAGCATTCATTGCGAACTTCAAATACGCGTCTCAAACAATTTCGGTGGGTATTGTACCTAAACTCGTCAAAATACCGAATATAGGAAGGTACTAGTATGAGGGGCTTACACGAAGACCTGGACCTACATACACAATTTTCTGTCACAGACTGTAGTTCCCATTACGAACTCTAAATTCGTAATTTGAAACAATTCCGGTGAATAATGACGCTAAAATCACCAAAATACCGAATATCGGGAGGTACCGTTATATGGGGGCTATACGAAGATGTAAACCTGCACAGACAGTTTTCTGTCTTAGGGTGTAGTATACATTACGAACTTTAAATACCAAATTTTAAGCAATTCCGGTTAATAATGTCGTTAAAATCATCAATATACCGACTATAGGGAGGCACCGTTATATGGGGGCTATACGAAGACGTGGACCTACAAGACCCATTTACAAACTTAACCTGCCTACTGGAAAAATAAGCACATGTGCAAAATTTTAGCCTTCTATCTCAATCCGTTCGAAAGATAGAGTGATTACAACAGACAGACGGACATACAGACAGACGGACATGGCTAAATCGACTTAGAATTTTACGCTGATCAAGAATATATATAATTTGTTGGGTCTGACATGAGTATTTCGAGGAGTTACAAACGGAATGACAAAGTTAATATACCCTCCATAGTATGGTGGAGGGTATAAAAATAGAACTGTCGAATTTGGTTCCCTCCGATGAGAAAACATTCGTTGTCCAGCAGTTTGTAAAAACAAAATGATCGTGTTTACTTGCCAAAGAGGTCAGCTGAATATGTGCACCCTTCGGTTGGCCACCAGAACTCAAGCGTCGGCCATGGAGATGGTGTGGGCCACCAGCCGATGGTCGCTCTCCGCTCGTATTAATCGACCATGACATCAGAATAAATGCCGAATATTATCGCGAAAATAATTCTGAAGGGTGTATTAAAGCCTTGGGCCTGCAAACATTTTGACCGCAGACCTTAAACATTCCAACAGGACTCAACATCATCGCACTCAGCACGCGCCAACCAAGAATGGTTACAAAATGAGGTTCCTCCCTTCATTTCCAGCACACAATTGCCACTAAATTTCCGGATACCAATCCGTTGGTCTAATGTGTCTGGAGTATTTTGGAAAGCAAGGTTGGCACTAAAACATACCGAAGTGTCGATCACCTCAAGCAAGCGCTTCGCCGAGATTGGGACAAAATACCGCTAGGCAACATTCGGGCAACGTGTGACGGTTTCATTGGCCGTTTGAAGGCCATAATTCGTTCCAAAGGTGGCCAATTCGAACAAATCTAAAGTTATTCTAAAATTTGATGCTATTTCCTACATTTTTTGCTTTCATTCAATAAAATTTAGTAAAAAATGTAAAAATTATGTCGTTTGACTTTGTTTCATTTTTTTTTTATCTTATCCTGTATACACTCACATAATGCCTAGTTTTGGCTTTGAATACATTATATACAGGGATAAATTATTCAATTAATTTGACTTTCTATATATTATTATTAATAATATATTTCAACCATAGTCCCTAAAAGATATTTATCCCAAAAGTATTTTTAGATCAGTTACCATATTTTAAAACACTCTCAAATTTTTTTTTATATTGACAGCATATTTTAATATTTTACATATACGCACGAATACATTTCCAAGTGACCAAATTTGTTCACTTAATGTATATATGTACATGCTTCTTTGCTTTACTTTGTCATAAATAAAACGAAATATTTGTTTATGGATTTCCGGAGATTTGTTTATTGTCCTCTTTTTCCGTACTCTCTTATGTTTATAAAAAGGCTTTCAATACTCATTAGGGATGGACTTATCTGGGTATAATGGAAACGTTCATTTTTTTCGGAGAAGGACATAAGCGGATTAATATTTGACAAAATTATTTGCAGGATAAAGGAAATCTTTTTCCAATTAGATGTGTTCCATTGTGTTTACATATAGAGTTCGATGGTAAGGGGAGGATATATATGTCTTTGGTTTTGTACCTTACCAAACTTACAAAACTTCTATCAAAGGAAAAGTTTAGGAGAAAAATACAAAGATACAGATTTCAAAAAGAATTCGGCGAAATAACTGATTAACTGTCTGGCTGATCTGGCATCAACGCCCAGACGAAACGGCTGAAAGTAGAATCTTGAAATTTTCACGGGGTCAGTCTTGGTACGAAGGTCAGTCGTAATAAGGCAGGTTACCAAAAGTACTAAAATGTACTAAAAACAAGTAAAAAAGAATCAATCGGTTCTTCCGACAGATGTATACGTATCTGACCTAAATAAATATGATATATATATATTGCGACGTGCCAAGTTTGGACTATATTGGGTACTTCCATCAATTTATATCAAACCTGTTATAATTTTAAGAAAATATTAAAATGTGAGGGTGGTATCAGATATAGTCGACCGAAGTATTATATTTTTATACTTCATACTTATACTAATTCAGATAAAAATATTGGTATGGGCAAAATTAACATTTATATCCAATTTTATGCGAAATCATAAAAGTATTGAAAATTGTGACCATTTGTGGGTGAGGTACCAGAAGGGGTTCGCAGAAATATATCATCTTCACAACAGATTTTGTGTTAGCAAAAATTTTTATGTGTGTAAAATTTAAAGAGAGTTGGAAGTTTTTTTCACTTTTTGTGAGCGTTTTGTTTTTCAAAATCTTGAACCCTATGTTGGGGAGGTACCCGAAGAAATGGTCCGATCTCTACCATCTATATAACAGATCTTGTGTTGATGGAAATATTGAGATGCACCAAGTCTGAATGGAATCGGATGTTAATTTTGAGTTTTATGAGCTTCATGGATATTCAAAATTTTGACCCTTTGTGAGGGAGGTACCAGAAGGAGTGGACTGATACATTCCTTCTTCACACCAAACCTATTGCTATATGCGAAATTTTAAGACAACTGGACTCTTATTTCACATTTTATAAGCGTCGATATTATTCAAAATGTTAACCCTTTGTAAGGGAGAAGAAGCCGGTCTATGTTGTCAATATTCACATCTAACCCAGCACAGATACAAATATTACGATTCGCAAAGTTTAAATATGATTGGGTGATCCTTTCTTGTCCCGCGAGGTAAATTATTTTCTGTCAAAATTTCGACCTTTTGAGGATCATTTTGACTTATCATCAGATAGCCATATCATCGAGGATATAAAAAATCTCCACATACCTCATATGAGGCCAAAACAAAACTGTGAATGAATAACAGCTTGGAGGATAAAAAAAACTCGACCTAAATGACCTTAAATGGAAGGATAGAATTGTAATAGGGCTCAAATTGAAATAAATCTTCTTTTTAGTGATATAAGTAATTATGGACGTATAGGATTCAGTAGAAGATCCGAATTTGTGTAGTAAGTTTCCGCACCTAGTCGGCAGTGTGAATTAGCATTGGTAGACGCTAAGACCTCTGTTGGATAGTCCATATAATACTTTCCAGTCTCTTTCTTCATATAGTCCCGTTTATTTAACTATTGCGGGGTCTGGCAGTATTTTGGCATACTCACTATCGATCCTATGTAAGGCCTTAAATTCTATAAGGACAAGCATTCCACTTGCAACGGAAATTTATAAAATAATGTGTTTAAGGGTTTGACAACAATGATTGGCTTGATTTTTTTTTAACTATCTTCGGTTCTTGCCAGGACTGAAAACCACTTGTCGATTTGAGTTGTTTCCTGATACCTTTTGAACAATAGTCCTATTTTGAAAAGTTTTTTTGTCAGCTCAAGTCATGGCTTTACCTATAAGTGGACCTTAATTGAGGGGAGAAGAACCTTTCAAGAACCCCAAACGTCAAGTTTCAGCTTGTTTGGTTTTAAATTGTGGTAGAAACCTTAAAAATACTGAAAATCGGGATGTACCGTCATGTGGAGAGTGTGCCTAAGTGTGGACCAATGTAGCCCATTTTTAATAATAATCAGCCGGCATATAATTTAAACCTTTGTGGCAAATTTCAAATCTCTAAATTAAATAATTCTGAGTCGGAGTCAAGTTTTCATCAATACTCAAGCTCCAACTATAGCTATATTATTGAATCCGCCTCTTAGACTCCAATTCCAACCCCATAACTTTGGCTGAAACATTCGAATATTAGGTGTTACAATTTTATGAAGCCTACATCTAAACGTTAATCTATATTACAAATATTCGTAGAGCCTTTTTTGAAAATTCAAAGCTAATCTTATGTGTCAATAAATGTTCGATTTATTATAACAGAAATTTTCAAATTTCCTCCTCCTTTTCCCTTTTCAGTCATAATATCCATGTGCTGGTTGGCTGGAGCCATAGTCGGATTCCTACCCCTGTTCGGATGGCATGCTGCAGTTGACACAAATCAAGCCTGCCTCTTTGTTGAGGTCATGGATTATAACTATTTGGTGTTTCTGTATTTTGCCACAATTATTACGCCTGCCCTGTTGATGATCGCCTTCTATGCTCACATCTATAAGGTTATCATAAAACAGGTACGACAAATTGTTACCATGAATCCGATGGGTGACACCAGTCGGCGTAGCTCTACAGCCCAAATACATAACAACAGCAGCATAAATGGTCGCGGTGGACCATGTCACGGGGGTACTATGCTGAGAGTCCTGGGTGCGGCAAGAAAACGTGACGTGAAGGCAACACAAAATCTATCCATTATCGTTCTCTTCTTTATGATCTGTTGGATTCCACTGTATACGATCAATTGTATACAGGCCTTCTGTCCGACGTGTTTTATACATCCCAAGCTGACATTATTCTGTATAATATTATCACATTTAAATTCGGCGGTGAATCCGATTTTATATGCCTATCATTTGAAGGATTTCCGTTTGGCTATGAAAAATTTAATTCTCCGAGTTATGGGCATTGAGGTGGAGGTGACACTGGATGCGCAACATCGTTTCTCGTTGGCCTCCCAGCATCGTTTGCAATCGATGGATGTTAGTTCGAGAAATAATGTTCAAACGAGGATCTATATAGGTAAGGATGAAGGTATGAAAAGTGAGGAAGAGAAATTAATGAATTGTTTTTTTTTTTTTTTTTCTCCTTTTTCAGATTCTCCCATTTGGTTGCGTCAGCAGCAACAATCCTTGAAAAATTCCCAATTGGTGGCCAAATGTGGTGTGGTGACACCTTGCTTGAATAATATCCACCAGACGGTAGCTGCTGTGGCCTCTGTGACAACAGATATCGAACGTGACATGTGGAATATTAGAGAGGCTTCCAGCACTGCCGAGGCTGGAGAAATAAATTATATTTTCGTCGATGATAAGGACTCGGGGGCTCCAACACCACCTCCCCGGCGTAAACGCAAGAAGCAGCAAAAAACTGAAGGTTGTGAGAGTCCTTATTCCTATGACAACTGCAATTACACTCCCAGTCCTGAAGAAGATGATTTCGAGGAAGTTTTTCTACCCAGCAGACCGCAGGAAACCCCAAATGGTGGAGTAGATCATAAAGTACTCAACGAAAGTCTCATAGCCTGTGCCATGCGTGATAAGCTAAGGTCCGATATAGATGATAGAGGCCCCAGCACCCCTCACTCCCAGAGTGATTATGAGATACCAAAGAATGACAGGGATTCCAGTACAACGAGTACACCTCTACATCAGCTAAATAGGGGAAATTCTCTGGCAAATACTCCACCCCTAACGCCAAAGCAAATACAAGAACTAAAACAAAAAGAGGGTCTCAAGTCTTCCCTTTCCAACGGATGTCTGAGTGGCAACTCCATTTATATCATAGACAGTGATTCCAGTCCCAACACACCGGGACATAAACCCAAATTTCGTAAATCAGCCCACATAACAAGGGCCTTAAATAAATCCCTAACCCGTTCCTGTTCCTGCACCAGTGACACCTCAATATCCCTTTCGCCGCAAAGGGACATGGAACCACCCACCACCACCACCACCACAGCTACCACCAAACATTCCGATAGTAATAATTCTAATAATTCTCTAAATAATCAACACTCAACATCCAGTCAGCAGCTGGCCAGTAATCCTGCAACTGGCAACTCCCACAACAACAATAATCTCAATTATTTTACATTTCATCATCCCTCGGCGGATTATCAATATCATCATTCGCATCCCCATCGAATACGTAACCCCCAACATTCTCATCAGCATCATCATCATCATCAGGATAAATTTAGTCCCCTCAAGGCCATGAGTAACTTGATATTCCCTCCAATTGTTAAACATTCCAGCCTTTTTCAATTATTCCATCCCTCCTCTGCCTCTGCCGCCACCAGTAGTAATACAGAAACAGCAAGGCCAACCTCACCATGTTCCACAACGACTGCCCCAATGCCAGCCAACAACTTATCTTCTTCATCAGCGGTATTAAACAATTCCGAATCCAAGTCTTCACAACAAGAAACGACTGATAATGTTAATAGAACAAATATTTGCAATAATCCCAATCCTCGTTGCAATGATGAGGACATCAGCAATTCTTTTACTTCCCTAGCCACAGAGGTCATTGAGGTCTCGTCAATTGAAGTTCCAAGACTACCTGAGATAAGGGCCGATAGTTGAGTATTAGCTTTAGAAGTTCTAATTTAACAATACTCATAGTTAAATAAAATTAGTTAAAGTTTGTTGATCAATTAACCGAACACAGGGGCCATTCCCCCGATAGTCTTTAAGTTGTATACGAATATTTTTAGGAATTGGAATATAGAAAAATCTAATCTGAGAATTAGCGAGGTCTAGGGCATTAAGGTAATTTTACCTCCAGTATTTGTAAACGTTTTTATATGGTTTTCAAATTTCATTTCTTTTTCTTTTATCGAAAAATGAAAAATGGCCACAATAGGCAAAGGATTATGAAGGTAGAACCTTCAGAGTGCCAATGACCGGTATAAAATATATTTGCGATTAATCTGAAAACCTGGACCTACATTAAGCAAAATACAAAATGCCGTTGGATCCACAAAACAACCTGAAATCGGGCATAATCGCTATATTGGTCTTATTTAATAATTGAATATATAAATCTTTAAAATGTCGAAAATCAAAATATATGAACTTTTCGATAAATAGTGGACCCATATTAGGAATTTTTGAAAAGAAAGTTTGAAACTCTTAGAGAAACCTAACCATCGAATTACTGAAAAATAAGATGGAAACTACATTAGAAATATTGAAAGCGCTCTAAATTAGGTATTATATGAGGAATACATCCAAAACACAAAGTTTGGTCCACGTCTTGGTATAGCCCCCATACAAGGGTATATCCCGATTTTAAGTATTTTTTTACATTTTAGTCACATTTTTATACCCTCCACCATACTATGGAGGGTATATTAACTTTGTCCTCGAAATACTCATGTTAGACCCAACAAAATATATATATTCTTGATCACCGTAAAATTCTAAGACGATTTAGCCATGTCCGTCTGTCTGTTGCAATCACGCTATCTTTCGAACGAATTGAGATAGAAAGCTAAAATTTTGCACATGTGCTTATTTTTCCAGTAAGCAGGTTAAGTTTGTAAATGGGCAATGTAGGTTCACGTTTTCATATAGCCCCCATATGTAAGTACCTTCCGATATTCGGTATTTTGCTGAGTTTAGCGACATTATTCACCGGAATTGTTTCAACTTTGGTATTTGAAGTTCGAAATGGATACTACAGCCTATGACAGAAAATTATCTTTGCAGGTCCACGTCTTCGTATAGCCCCCATACAACGGTACCTCCCGATATTCGGTATTTTAATGATTTTAGCGACATTATTCACCGGAATTGTTTCATAATTGGTATTTAAAGTTCGAAATGGAAGCTACACCCTGAGATAGAAAATTGTCTGTGCAAGTCCAGGTCTTTGTATAGGCCCCATATATCAGTACCTCCCTATATTCGGTATTTTGATGAGTTTAGGTACAACACCCACCGAAATTTTTGAGATGTCGTATTTGACGTTCGTAATGGATGCTATACCCTGTGACAGAAAATTTTCTATGCTGGTCCAGGTCTTCGCACAGCTCCGATATAACGGTACCTCCCTATATACTATATTTTGATGATTTAAGCTACATTATTCACCGTTTATTTCAAGTTTCGAATTTGAATATGGTAATGGCTTATGACAAACTAGGCCTATGTTGGTCCACGTCGTAAGGACCCCAATATAAGGGCTATATTCGGTATGTTTAAAATTTTAACAGAATTTTTTAAGGACTTTATTTTTTGAAAATTTCCAAATTCGTTCCAAAAGGTGGAGGGTATTCTAAGTTCGGCCCGGCCGAACTTACTGCTTTTTAACTTGTTATAACCTTCACCTTGGAAAGAAGGCTATATTAAATTTGTCATTCCGTTTGTCTGCACAATACTTGTATTATATCTGGGATAGTTAGTGTAGAAAATGAGGTTCACGTTTCCTACAGCTCCCATATAACAATAGCTCCCGATTTTCCGTATTTTGAAGGTGTCTCCCACAATTTCCAACCAAATTTGATGATACTTTCTAGTTGAGGTTCTCGGTATGTCTGTTATCTCCTTGCAAATTGAAATCGGGATATACCATTATGTGGGTGCTATACCAAAACGTGGACCCACACGACCCATATTTTGTACAAATTATTCTACATGTACATGTTCTACATGCCCTACCGAAAAAAAGTTTGGCCTCGGAACCTAAAAACCTTTTGGGATTTTGATCTACTAACGCAATACTATCACCTCTAGTTATAATTTCCCAACCCCCAGAAAAGTGTAACAACAAGCTTTTTTGGATAAAAATTGAAACAGCTGCTCTATCCTCAGCCTATAAGCCAATTCGCATATCCGCATTGTTAATTGTTAATATTGGCTTAATCGAAAATTATTCGATATTGAATGTAAAGATTCAGCATCTGGTTTTGTCTGGGGACAAACTTCTTATAGGGAGTATCAAATTGTGTCCTCAATGACAGTATCGGTGTAAAATCCATTCAGACCTGGTTGATAGACTTGCTCTAGATTGTACATCTTATATATTTAGATCTCACTCTGTACATCTTACAGATGCCTTTAAATACCAAAAGTTCTGCAGACACAATATACATTTGAGTAAAATTTTATCAACCTACTTGATTTTGTTCGGAAGCTAGAGTGATTTCTAAAGGCGGACAGACGGACATAGCTAAATCGACATAGAATTGTATGCCGATCATGAAAATATATATACTTTACGGGGTCTAAAATGTATATTTCGAGGTGTTACAAACGGAATGACAAACTTAATATACCCTCCATACTATGGCGGAGGGTATAAAAGAGGGTCACTCTTTCTGACAAATTCTTTTAACTTATTTTTGGTTAAGTAATTATTTGTTGACTTCTAGAATCTAGAATGCAATAGAAATGCAGTATATAGTCTGTAAGTACAGGTATGTAATTACACTACGACTTTAAGTGGTCAAAAAAATAATACTAATTTCATGTGACATGCCATTTTTAACAAGTAAAAAAGCTGTAGGTTTTTTTTTGTCATAAGTTATCACAATATTTAAATGCGAAACTTGAAGAAAAATCTCTTTATAATGTAGCTAAAATCATCAAAATACCGAATATGGGGGGTACTGTTATATGGGGGGCTATACGAAGACGTGGACAAACATGGCCCATTTTCTGCTTTATGCTGCAGTATCTATTACGAACTTCAAACACCAAATTTGGAACGATTCCGTTAAATAATAATCGCTAAAATCATCAAAATACCGAATATCGGGGGGTACCGTTATATGGGGGCTGTATGAAGACGTGGACCTACATGGCTCATTTTTTGACTTAGGATGTTGTTTCTATTACCGAATATCGGGGGGTACCGTTATATGGGGGCTATATGATAACTTGGGACCTATATGGCCCATTTACGAACTTAACCTGCCTATTGGCAAAATATACATGTCTGCAAAAATTTAGACTTCTATCTCAATTTGTTCAAAAGATAGCGTGATTACAACAGACAGACAGACGGACATGGCTAAATCGTCTTAGAATTTTACGCTGATCAAGAATATATATACTTTGTTGGGTCTGACATGAGTATTTCGAGGAGTTACAAACGGAATGACAAAATTAATATATCCTCCATAGTATGGTGGAGGGTATAAAAATAATGGGTTTGTTAATGAGATTTGATATGAGAATTGTCGCTTAATTGTAGTATAGTTCCAGGAATTCGGAAGCGTTTACAGTCATTGCCCTCTGAGTTGCGATAATTTGTTAATATGTATTCAACTTTTATCATAGGTCCTACATATATTCCACATTAATATTTATTAGGGTTTTGCAATTGCAAACATCCTACATTTTTATATAACGGAATTACATTTTAAAAATTCTCATAATTCTTCCCTCAAATGTGTTAACTATTCTGGTGCCATAGATCATCGCATTTTTCTAAAATTTAATAATGTAAATATGTATGTATTTTTCGTGTGTTAATAAGAAATCAATAGATTTTTATGTATTCATTCGATTATAAGCCAAATATTTATAAAAAAAAGCTGCTATAATTATTTGTATTACTAAATAATAATAAGTGTTAAATATTTCTTTAAATATATAATTAAAACAACAATAAAACATAAATAATGCATGTTTCAACAGTCTTTGAAACAAACCAAAATGTTTAAATACCAAAAACAAAAAATAATTCTAAGATACATTAAACATTTATAAAAAATACCATACAAGCAAAGTTTTAAGAGTTAATAAAAATATCAAATATGCAATGTTTAAAAGATTGTGTTTTATTCCCAAGTTATTGACCCTATACACAATGCTGACAAACAGGAACCACCAAAGACAATTTTATACACCAAAGATTGTCACCTACCAAATCTACCAAAATAAATACCTACATTTGAAACAATTTCGTGGGCAAATGTGACTTGGATTATCAAAATACTGGGTATCGTTATTTGTGACCTATAGGAAAACGTGGACCTAATTGTTTTGCCGCACGAGCTATAACCCATTATGAATTACAAATACAAATTTTTAGACTAATCTGTGGAAAAATGTGGCAAAAAAAATCAAAATACTGAATATACGGAGCTAACATTATGTGGGGGTTATACCAAAACGTGAACCTGTACATACTATGAACTGAACCAATACAAACGTAAACCTATACATTACTATCTACGAACAACAATTTTCCGTGGAAAAATGTGGCAAAGCTCATCAAAACACTGACAGTCGGAAGGTACCGTTATATGGGGTCCATATCAAAACGTGGACCTATATATGCCATGGTCCGCCACCGGAGCTAGAACCCATTTCGAACTATAAATAACAATTTTTTAGGCACATCCGTGAAAAAAATGACATACCGTTATATGGGGGCTATTTCAAAACGTCGACCGATATATCTCATCTCAATACCAAGCATCCTAGACACAATACAAATTGTTCTGCCAAATTTTTAAGCTCTACGTTGAATAATGTATCGTGATTTCAACAGACGGACATCGTTAAATATACGCTTCATAGAATTTAACACAAATATTTAGGGACGTTACAAACGGAATGGCAAAGTTAATATACCATAATTTTCAAGGTGGAAGGTATAAAAACAGTAAAGGACAATTTCTGAAACGGTTTACACCAAATTTGTCATATATACCTCCGGGTCGTAGAACATACGAATCCATCCAATTTGGGCTTGTATCAACCACTTGGTGCACAATAAACATGAAATCGAAAAAGCTATACTCAAACCTGAGCTCACTAATTTTGTCAAAATTGGTGTAGGTAATTTTGGGCCATTTATGATATCTTGCCCCGAATATCATTTCTACATTCTATACTAAATATCAAATCGGAAATGTGCCAAAGTGTACTGTAGTATATAAATATCAGGGAGCATCGATATATAAGAGCTTTATACCATCGTATAACCTAATAAGGCAAATCAAAAGTAATTTTGTTGTAAAATAAGTATAAAATCTACAAAACACTTTAAATGCATGATACAATAAAAAGGTAAGGTAGAGCTATTAGCTGACTAAAAAAAATGATTTGATGAATGATGATGATTTGAAAAATGAAAACAAAATATTTTCAAAACCAATGATTGGAAGACACGTAGATTGCGGCTCGTGCATTAAAGCTATTAACCAGTTTGGCCATGAAATTGAAAGATTAAACAGTTTGGATCATATTTTCGAGGGAAAATCCAGACATTTCATTAACTTTTCGCGCTATTTGACTCATTTCAAAAAATGAGAAAAAAATATGAAAAAAATGAAACCAATTTGAAGCATATAATTTTGAACGAGTCTGACAGTAAGCGGACATAGCCTCAGGGCTGTATTTCTGTAGTTTAATGAAGCTGTTCTACCTCCATATTGTACCATGGTATAATGCTAAATTGTGGACTTAACAACTTCGAGTCGAAATTGTGCCAGAAATATACAAAATACCGAAAAACATGTGTGCTCTGCTTGAGTGGACCAATATTACCCTTTTAATACCAATTATTTTATGATTAATTTATTTTTTATTTATTTATTATTATTATTCAAACATAAATAAATAAGAGATATTGAAATTTCAAAACAAAAAAAAAAATTATGTTTGAATAAACTTTTATTACGCAAAACATCCTCGATAATGCATGCCTTAAAGTTTCCAACAGAGTCATTTTGTGTTATCATTTCCCTGTACATTGCAACGAAAACAAAACATCTGTCAGATTACCAAAAAAACACAGAGAGCAAAGAGAACGCGAGAGCTGTCAAACATCTTTCACGTGTATTTTAAACAAGGAAAACAGAAAATATAAAACTATTTCTTCCAAAGACAAATTATTAAATAAAAACGAATTTAAATCACAAATTCTAGCCCCAAAAAGATTGGACGATACGAGAGTAATATGTCTTCGTCGTTTTTCCTGAAGAAAGAACCCAAAAACAATAAAAAACGAAAGGTAAGTTGTGGCAATCAATGCAACAGTTCGATTTTGTTTAATGCCTACTTTCGATTCTTTTCATTCCTCATGTAGTTCCAAGGTGGTGGTGGTGCTGGCGCCAAGGGTAAAGGCAAAGATAAAACAAATGAAACACCTGCCAAGAAGAGGCCACAAAAAGATGATGAAGAAATTGCCAGTGATAGTGAATATGAAAGCGGTCTGGAGGGTGATGGTGCCCCAAATTTGGCTTTCTCCTCAGATGAGGCTGAGGAAGAGACACCACAAGACAAACGTTTACGTTTGGCCAAGCAATATTTGGAAGAAATTGAAAAACAAGAGGCAGATAAGGCTGAAGATCGTGAATTACATGACCATGTTGCACATCGCCTGCAAACAGAGTACCTGGACAGTGTGGGCAAATTGAGGAAAAAGATAGCAGGCTCCATCGAAGGTTACGATGCAGAGAACATCATCAAACTGAAACATAAAAAACAACATCTTCCCTTGTGTTCATTGGCCCTCTCGCCCGATGGTCAATATCTGTTGTCTGGTGCAAAAACACAATACGTCTTGAAATGGAATTTAAAAACATTACGTGTTGAAGGTTCCTTCAATGTCCAGCCATATAATGAAGATAAAAATACAGATATTAAACGTAGATCACATGTTATAGCTTTATGTATTTCATCGGATTTCCGTTACCTAGCATTGGCTGATGGTGGCCACACCATACAGATATGGTGCCCGAAAGAATTGAAACATTTGAAAACGTTCCATGGCCATCGAGATGTTGTAACTTCGTTGGTCTTTCGCCGCGATACACATGAATTGTATTCAGCTTCGCGTGATCGATCCGTGAAGATTTGGTCTCTGGATGAGATGGCCTATGTGGAGAGTTTGTAAGTTGTATTACAATGTTACTGATCATGTTGGTGTATATTAATTTATAATGAGATTCGTGGAATTACTATCGATAAGGGAAAATGGTCATAATCAAGATCCTTGGCTTGCCTTACGATATTTCTAAAAATTTTGTTTTGAAGACCCACGCTGTATACTTTAAAGAGAATTTGATATTATAGAAAATTAGTAGACAGAACATATGTAGGTCCATATTTTGAAGGCAAGCAATTTATGTATATAAAGTTGCCCCTGGTGGAAAGTTGAAAAGGTTCGGTTAGGACAAACTTAACACAGTTTTTCTAGTTTTCAACAAATTTTAGCTTGTGGTGAAGATAGTTTATATTAGTCAAGTCCTTATGTTCTGATATCTCCTCGATAATAGGGCAAAATATTGAAAAAACAAGAAAACAATTTAAAGATCGTATTTCTACTTTCCTTTCCTTTAACTTTTTTAAGAAAAGAAGAATTTGTAGCTTCTGTCTTTGAACGTTACAATAAGATATGGATATTGCATTTTCTAAAAATAAAATGTTTTTGTTTCAGATTTGGTCACCAGGCTCCAGTAACTGGCATTGATGCATTATCCCGCGAACGTGCTGTTACCTCAGGTTCTGATTGTACTTTGAGAATTTGGAAAATTACCGAAGAGTCTCAATTAATATACAATGGTCACAGAGACAGCATTGAAGCCGTAAAATTCCTAAATGATGAAAATTTCATATCGTGTGGAACAGATGGGTAAGCATAACATATATTTAGCATTAATTCTTCCTATAAAAGAGGCAAAATAGAATAATAACGATAGCACCAATACCATATACCAATTTCGATCCCTCAAATATTCGTCTTTTCGTCCACAGACTAAGGACAAACTGCCTTCTAACTGCTCTTATTTTTTATTCGTTTTCTAATATTATTTCTCATAATTTTGCAGATCCCTTGGTCTATGGAATGCACTGAAAAAGAAACCTTTACACACCTCAACTCTTGTGCATGGCACACAGGCAAATGGAGAAGCCAATTGGATTACTGCAATAAGTTGTGTAGTTAATACTGATCTTGTGGCCTCTGGTAAATATTGCAAACTATTCAAAATAGTATATTTTATAAACAACCGTTAACCATTTCAGGTTCCTGCGACGGTTACATACGCCTATGGCAATGTGTCGAGAACTATCGTAAACTCAAACCTCTGTTGGAAATTCCCGTCAATGGATTTGTAAATAGTTTAGTGTTTAATGCGGATGGTACAAAACTCTATGCCGCTGTGGGTCAAGAACATCGTTGGGGTCGCTGGTGGCGTTTAACAGATGCCAAAAATCACATTGTAGTCATTGATTTGTTAAAAGCTTCGGAGGCGGCAGAGGATGCTGCGGCGGCTAGTAAAAAAACTAAATGATAATAGTTATTTATTTAGGATTTTTTTTTCTTTTTTTTCTAGAAATTATAAGCTGTTTTTATGCAAAAAACGATATTTGGAAATTAAAAAGAAAATGCTTGTAGCATTGATGTTATAAAAAATAAAACGTGTTTTTAAATAAAGACATTTTAGTTTGTGTATCATAAGCGGTAATTTTTTTACAGAGTTTATCTAATATCATACTAAAATTGTAATTAAAATCGCGCCAAGCCAGATCGATACTTTGAATATTGTGTAGAAAATATTGATGGAACAAAATCATAATTTTAATTTACTTAAAAAAGTGCAAGTTTTGACAACTTATAAATTTGTAATAATTCACTTAATTTTGTGAAATATGTTATTTTTTCTGCATTAGATTGTTTTTGTACCCTCCACCATAGTATGGAGGGTTTGTCATTCTGTTTGTAACACCTTGAAATATACATGTTAGACCCCACAAAGTGTATATATTCTTAATCAGCATAAAATTCAATGTCGATTTAGCAATGTCCGTCTTTCGGTGGAAATTACTCTAGCTTCCGAACGAAATGAAGTAAGTTGATAAAAATTTACTCAAAAGTGTATTATGTTTTCAGGACTTTTTGTATTGAGGTCCACATCTTCGTATAGCCCCCATACAAAGGTACCTCCCGATATGCGTTATTTTGATGATTTTAGCGACATTATTAACCCGAATTGTTTCAAATAGGGATTTAAAGCTCGTAATGGATACGAGCTTCTACGTCTTCGTATAGCCCCCATATAACGGTACATCCCGATATGCGGTATTTTGATTATTTCAGTGACATTATTCACCGGAATTGTTTCCAATTTTGGTATTTGATGTTCGTAATGGATGGAACCGGATTTCATTGTTTTTGAGAATTGCCAAATTCGTTCCAGACGGTGGAGGGTATTTAAAGTTCGGCCCGGCCGAACTTGCAGTTTTTTATTTGTTTTTCCTATATTTCTTTTCAATGACTAATAGACTTTCAATGGTATATAATATAAAGTTTATAGAATCCACCGTGTTCGATTATAATTATTGTATTATAGATTATTTTTTATTAACAATAATGAATAATATTAAAACTTACCTTCTTCAGCAGCAAACCCCAAGTCGTTGACAACCGGATTACATACGTTTCATATGTATTGATATTTTAACACGAAATTTATACACAAATTTAGATACTTTTATTACCACTTATTTTGATTAAAAGACCAACCACGAAATTTAAAAAATCTGAATCAGTAGTGTACACATTGCATGCAAAACACAAATTTTATTATTAAAGCCGGCTTCCTAAAACTATTATTTTCGAATATTGCGATTTTATTGTACACTTATTGTTATTTATTTATTTTTTTTATTTTTATTTTATTTATTTATTTTTTTATCATAATTTACTCACTATTTTTTAATGACACATTTTATAAACCCGTAACGGTTTTGAAATCTGATTCCAATCCTTTATGTTTTAATTTTCTACACACGCACGTGCACTTTAACGAATAATATTTTTTATGAAAATTACCGAACGCGACAAACGTACATTAACCGATAGGATAACCGATATCTTTAAAATTACCGAAACGAAAACGACTGAATTAATTACACATTTTAAGAACTTAAAAGGATTGAGGCCTTCGATTCCACTACTCTTTTCATATAATACACTCGTACCCATATTCCACTTTAAAGAGAAATAGTTTTTAAAAATTATCGAACACGACAAACATACTTTAACCGATTGAATAACGTCCTTAAATTATTCAGGAGCTTCCATTTTCGCTTATTCTTATTTTTTTTTTTCATGTCTTAATTTAGCACTTACGGAGGCAACTCTTATTTTTAATGAAAGATTGTTCTTGTGTTCGAGGGAAATTTTTATACCCCATGCGGATTTCCAGAATACTGTACGGCATTATAAATTTGAACTATAATACGGGCTTCTCTAACAAGTATAAATTCACACTGCGCGTCCATTTAATTTACTTGACATTATATTTCTCTTATAAAATAAAATCGAACAAGAAACTGGGACTTCTTACGGACGTTCATTTACATTTATTATATTTTAAGGACACCCCGCATTTCTTCTGTATAAACAACTGGTATGTAGACGAACATCTGATTTGCTGAGGAATAGAGGACTACGTGTTTATTTTACTTTGAAATCTTTTGCATTTTTAAGGCGAACGCGATATAATGACCAATACAATCATCAAGTTTCCCCCTGCTTCTCATTGTTATACGACTGCTTTCATTTTGATTGTTTTTATTGGTATTTTTCCAGAGGTTCAAAAAATGCAGAAAACACAATTTCATCGTGTTTTTGATGGGCAGGTTTCATCCGTGCGGCCTCAGATTTGGGCTTGGTTAATTCTTGGAGACATTCAGAGTTGACATTTAACTACAAGTCCTAGTGACATCGAGCCGTCCTGTTCGTTGGAAATTCTTTAAGGCACTATATTTGCGGACGTTGATTTAAATTCACTATATTTCATGTCCCTGTTGAAGGTATTTCTTCTTTTTGAAAATCAGATGATCTGTCTGCATTGCATGAATGTTTCTGTCATTATTTGGTGTTGCTCTAGGCCTTTGTGTTACGTTTACTATAAACATTCATATTTACCAAACCGGCAACGATGCAATTTTAGCTTTTTAACGATTTCCTGCAGCATCTTACTTTGTAACTGATACCTTTTCACTTTAAATATTTATGGGATATGTTTGTTATGATTTACCGTCACTTTCCTCAAATCTTCTTTGCAAATTGTAATTTCTCTTGCAATGATTGCTAATTGCAGCTGCTATTGGAATAATAGTTCGACAAAATTTGTAATTCTTAACTTACAGCAGCGGATACAGAATACATTGCTTCATCCAGTTGTTAGTAACGCACTTCTTCCCGCTAATTTGAACACTGAAGCTTTTTGTTTGTGCTTCTTCTTTCTATGGTCACATACATTTCTGTCATTCACTGTCTCCTTTCTTCTTTTGCACAAATTGTCAACTATTTATGAAAAATATGACAAATATTTGAAGGCACATGTGTTGCTGAGTCTTTTTACTATCGAAATTTAATGTTTTTCTTCAAAGCCTTTTATGAATTCCTAGTTTTTTTCTCTTTTTCTTCAAAGTTTCTACCGAAGCTACGTATTTGTTGACGAACCGTTAGAAAACAACTACAACAAATGCTATTTTGCATGACAGGGTTACATTTTTAGCGGAAATTGTAATAGATTAAAGGGTGTTTATTTGCAGCACTGTGCAGTGCTGCCAAGTTTCATCGTTCCTGACAGAAATGCCAAGTTTTATTATTTTTCCACTTATTTCAAATTTTGACATCCTGCAACAATGAAAAATAAGCTTTTTGTTTCCGGAAAAGATATTAGGTGTGTCTGGTTACCCTAAAGTTTGTAACAATTGTTACAAATTGTTACTGGAAGTCGTCTGTTAACCCAAAAGTTCTGCAAAAGAGAGCGGTTGGAGAGAGAAATTTTGACAGTTCTTTCAGTGAGAGTTTGCAAATTCTTGCTGGAAAAATTTCTTCCTGCAATCTCTTGCAACTCTTCTTCTTCTCATTCATCGACATTCAATCAGATGTTTTCTATTGTTTACTTATTTCTTTTTGTGCTTTTAATTTGAAAATATTGTTTTGGAATTAACAAGACTAATTGTTTTTGGAGAACAACTTCACAAAATGTGGAAAACATAAATATTAATATGTAATAAGAAAATAAAAGACTATTTCCAACATTTTTATTTAAAAAACTTGTAAAATTAGTATTGCTTCCTTTGTTTTAATTCTCCTTATGGGGGACAAATTGGTTTGTTTTGACAAATCAGCTGATTAGTTGCAAGCTTGTGCAGGAATACCGTCTGTTTACTTTTCGCAATTTCCTTGCAAAAGAGAATAAAACTACCTTACTCTCTCAGAAAGATGTTGCTGGACAATTCCTGCAGGGAAAGTAACCAGACACACCTATTGTGCTTGATTTTCTTCCCAATTAAAGAACGTTTTCAAAAAATGTGTGAGATTCAGTAATTGATAAAAGAAAACAGGGAAATTATAATATTTATCAGTGTTGGTTACTATATCGCGATTGCCAAATATTTAAGATTATAAGGAAACATTAAAGCGCGATCCAGAGTATCATAACATAGAACTCCAATCTGTTGAACACTGATGTTCGTTTAAACAAGTGTACTCCAGAATAAAATGAAAATCGTTCTTATGTGTTGTGCAGGCATGTCTTGAACTCGTTACCTAAAATAAAAAAATACCCTTCCTCGGTTTGAATGCAGAACATAATTAATAGCAATAAAATGTGTTGGACATTGTACAGTTAAGGTAAGTTTAATATTATAAATTTCAACTAAAATATCGGTCATAATCTTCATTATAATAAAAATGTCTTTAAATAAATATTGCACTTTATTTCAAGTAGGTAGGTATATAAATAAATAATAAAAATGGATTGCATAAGTCTTTTTTGTTTTCTTTCCTTCGTCTCATTAAATGCTGCTTCAGACGCTGCTACTTCATCTCTCCTTTAGAATGCGTCATCTCCTACCACATCTGCTATGGTGGCCACCAGGCGGCGGGCATGTTCAACAGCACATGTGGCGGTGACCAAACCCAAATGGACACAAAACAATTCGTAGCATTTGATTTTATGTACAGGCGTTTTTGGGAAACATATTTCTGTCAACAGCTGATAGTAGTCACCAGCCAAGAGACCAGGTTCAAAATTTGGTTTAAATGAATTAGCTGCATTTGCTGAGGGTAAATTCAAATGTCTTTCCAAGTCAATGGATTTCGAGGAACCCGTTGATTGATCCTCAAACCATAGAAAGTAGGCGTAATTAAATGATTTGTCCTTCCACATAATCGAGGCATGGCCCTTCTTTAGATGTTGTCTGGAAAATTCCAACATATCGAAAAGTTTTTCCTTCGGTATCAGGGGATTGGAGGTTTTCAAATCCGGTGAGATCATAAGACCCGAAGAACGATTGATGTATATGAAATGTATCAGGCCGGGAAAGTCTTCAAGATAGGCTTCAATGGTGATATTCCTATCGGCCTTTACTGCAAGAAATTCGGAGAATTCCAAAAGCTTGCCCTCCACAACAGCTGCAACTTCGGGAAGTTGTTGAAAATTCACGGCCGACGAGTCACAGCATGTCAGCATAAATAATTGTTTGAGATCTTCATGGAATGAGGGAATGTTCGATTCGATACGCACTATTAAATCCTTTTCATACGTCTTGAGGAACTCATGATACATTTTCTTGAGATTTTCCCATTTGGCAGAGAATCTCTTAAAACAACTTTCCACATCATCACCTTTTATTTTCGCCTTTTTATAGGCTTCCTGGGACTGGCGTACAAATGTTTCCAGTGATTCATATGTTGGCTTTAATGCCTCTGCATCTCCTTGCATTTGTATGGAGACGATTTTCTGCAGGACAAAAAATGTATCATATAAACTGCTGGCCACCGATAGAGGAGCATATTCCACCAGTTGGATAAGTACCACACCTTTATTTAGGGTATTTAAATGGGCAATACACGGCACACAACCCGATTGGGGATCTTGTGCGACGCCTTGCAGGAATATGGCCATTGTTTTGTTTAAACCTCTAGAGTCTCGCTGCAAGGCTCGTATAAGTAAGGCAAGGAACAGCAAATCAGAGGGACTCAATGGTAATGCGGACTTGCTTGAGTTGATGGCCACAAATTTCACACCAACAAACATCAAAGTATGGCACTTCAAGTGACCACCATCCCGCAGACAATCTAAGGCTCTATCCAAGCTACCCTTGACAGCCCTTCGCAATTCCGCATTGATTATCAAACGCGGCAAAGATTCAACTTGTAGTATCAAATCGGTGTCACGTATCTCCTCCTCATAACACTCCACACAGGTGGTAAACAATTCTTCCTGGACATCGCTGGCAAACAAATTTGGTCCATAGCAGGCTTTGGCCAAAGCAATGACCACACCCATTCGTCGCTGCATTAACTCCAACTTCTCTTGAGCTATGCTTATGAATTGATAGCCCAGCACTTCACCAAACACCAAATTCAAATCCTCTTCACATTGGATACTGGCATAGCAATTATCGAACTGGCAATGCATAATACGCTGTGAATTTATGAGCGGGCTAAACAGCTGCACCAGAACATTTTGATCGATTTTCCTACCGCAACTCTCCTTTACGAAATCCTCCGGCAGCAATCCCTGGTCGATGGCCTTGTCCAAAAAGTGATGTTGTAACTTTTTATTAAATTTCTGATAGACCACGTCGTTGGCATTGTTGAAAACAATCAAACCATTCATAATTGAAGATTTTTTAGTGGAAATTGTGGTGTTTTTAATTTAGAATAGCATCACACTTTTTCTTTAGGAATGTACGGTACGGTGCTGATAACGAAAGAAACGAACGTGTAGAGAAATTTTTGCATAGAAATTTTTCTTGTTTTGATTCTTTAGGGGGTGGGTCAGAACAAGGGACACTTGGCAACACTGAAAAGAAAGACAGCACAGAAAGAAAATCTCAATAAAGATGAGAATCAAAAGGGAAAGGCCGACAACACAAATGGAATCAAAACAAAACGGCCGACAACACAAATGGAATCAAAACAAAACGGCCGACAACATAAGAACAGCTGACTAAGAGAAGAGCGAGGGAGGAAAAGCAAAACAAAAATGTAAACAAAGTATTATTGTGAATGAATGCAAATGTGTTGAAACAGGTTGTATGGGTTTGTGGTTAGTCGAATGCGTAACGTGCAAGTATGTCAATTATAAACGTAACGGGTAGGGGGTTGTGAAATTAAAGTACGTTCAGATTTACGAAACATCCGATCTCAAAAGTAAAACATGCTTTTGTTATGAATTAAAGACCATCTTGTTAGTTGTAACTTTCACGGCAGGAATTGCTCAGCCAATTCTTTCTGAGAGAATAAATTGAGAGTAAGTGTAGGATCGTGAGAATTCACTATTAAAAACTCGCTCACGACAAGAAAAATAAATAAAATATGAATATAGAGTAACAATGCTGCTAACGTTAGTTTTTTGACAGTTTTGCACATCAATGGCTTTATTCTCTTTTGCTCCTTATCTGTCTTTTTATTCTCAGCTCTTCGTTTAGTTTTTTTCTCAAATTATAAAGGAATGCCGCTGAGGTTTTCTGATTCCCTTTATAAATGAAGATTTTTAATCAAAATGATAGTTTTTTGTTGTATTCACACGACATGTTTAATGGGTCTTAGTCATAATTTATTTATGGGGAAAGATGTTAAGCGTAAACGCGCATCACATTTAAAAAAAAATCATCAAATTGTTTGCTGGACAGTAACTTAGTTAGCTACTGTGATTGCGTTACAGACCTTCATTGTGAATAATTTTGGTGATGCACTGGCCACAATGGAAATACCGGAAATACCGACAGCTCCAAAAATAGCGAGAAAGGAACCACCGAAAACAGTCCAAAAGATTCCCGCCAATAAGCCGCTACCTAACAAAGCAGCAACTGACATGTTTCAAATCAAAAAACCGGAGGAAATTCCAACAACCACTGCCAAAACAACTCCATCAAACCCCCACTGTATCTTGGTGCATCCAAAACAAAGAGGAAATCCCATATTGAAATCTATACTAAATTGTCCCTTAGAATTTCGTGATGATATTTTGCCAGACTATGTGGTCGGGAGGACAACATGTGTGCTGTATTTATCCTTAAAATATCATCAATTAAACCCAGATTACATATGTCAGCGTCTAAAGGAATTGGGAAAACTCTATGAATTACGTGTGCTGTTGGTACAAGTTGATACCCCAGAACCGCATGGAGCCTTGAAGACGCTGACACGCATTAGCCTTTTGGCTGACTTGACACTAATGCTAGCATGGAATGCCGAAGAGGCGGGGAAAATTATCGAAACCTATAAGCTATTTGAGAAGAGGCCACCGGATTGGATTATGGAACGGGTCGATTCTAATCCTCATCAAAAGGTAGAGTATTGAAAAATAGGATATTGGAAATTTTTAATTGTTGTTTTCTTTCTGGGAAGCTTGTCTCTGCCCTTACCAACATAAAACCGGTCAATAAAACCGATGCCACCACATTGCTACAAAATTTCGGAAGTTTGGAGAAAATCATAAATGCCAGTGAGCATAGTTTGTCACAAGTTACCGGTCTGGGACCACGTAAAGCCAAAAAATTGTACAAAACCCTACAGGAACCATTTCTGGCAAAATGAGAAAACTGTGTTAAATATATTGTATTCTAATTTATTGTATGAAAATAAAGCCCCTTTTGTTTACATATCTATTCAACAAATTTCCAGATTTTAATAGTACCATCATCACTGCACGACACAAGTTGATGTTGTACCACAGGATTCCATGACACCTTGTTGACATCTTGCATATGAGCCTTATCCTGAGCTGTGGCCAAAACAAATACCGGTTCATTTTTCGTCGTTGTTTCTTCGTCTTCTTTGAATATCCGAATGGCATCATCACCACAAGCTGTGGCAATAAGACCGGTCAATTTACACCATGATACATCGTAAATAGTACGCGAATGTTCTCCGGCCACGGTGCAGACACATTTCCATACAGTTTCATTGTCAGGTGTTGCAATACCTTCAGGATTTCCAGGAGCATAGGCACGCCACACTTTCATGCTGCAATCATCACTCACCGAAACAAGACGGTCACCTTCGGCATCAAAATCAATGGCCCAAACTGTGCTCGAATGTCCACCCAAAGTGGCCGTACATTCCCAATCATTATCCAAGGCATTTTCAGCATACATTTTGATACTATTATCATAGGAACAAGAAGCTAGCACCTCCTTGGTGGGATGCCATATAACGCGTTTGACATCTTGAGTGTGGGCACTGAGCACAGCGGCACATTCGAAATCATCATCCCCCGTGACTTCCCAAATCCAAACGGATTTGTCGCGAGAACAAGTTGCCAGCAATGATCCCGAACTGGACCAGCTACAGCTTTTAACTTCATTTTCATGGCCCTCCAGGGTGGCATTGCATTCGAATTCACCTAGAAAGGGGTTAAATTAGGAATTGTTAATGACTATGTGATATGCCCATCAAGTGATCACCCTTACCTGAAGCTTTTGACCAAATTGCTGTGGTGCCATCAAAACTTGCCGAGGCCAAATATTGTCCACATTTCGACCAGGACACATGTCGTATTGTTCTTTTGTGCCCATCGGATAAAATCGTTTTTGTTGTCCAGGTATTGCCAGACATTGACCAAATCCTTATGGTTTTGTCTTCACCACATGATGCAAATGCATTACCCTTTGGATGCCATGAAACGCACCAAATACGTCCCTTATGTCCTTGGAGCGTGTATTCGCACTGTAATTTACTCATTTTCCGTGAAAAGTGTCAAGTCTTTCGTATTAATTAATCCCACTGAAGACACACTGTTGCTGGACTTCTTTTTTTTTTTTTTTTTTTTTTTTTGGACTCGATAGTTGATTTCTCCGTCAAGAAGTAGTTGGTACCCGATACCCGAAGTATTCATGTACCAGTTGCTAAGTTATCGGTTATCGATTGTTAGTTCCTTTTATTGATATTTTCTTCTAGTGGTTTGTGCGTATTATAGTTGTATGTTGTTTACAATCAACAACGGCCTCTTTCCTCTCTCTGAGAGATCCAAACGGCTTTACAAAGTAAAACATCAATGGCAGAAAGAATTAAAAAAGATATTTCATAGAACAGGAAATAGAATGAGCAGCGATTACCGCATATTATCCAAACAAATTCAGCTTCTGAAAGTAGTAATAAAAGAATCAATAAGCATCGAACAAGCTGACACATTCAACAATCGTCTTCAAGATATTAAACCTGGCCCATCTGCTTTTAAAGAGATTTATAAGTTCAGCGGCAGAAAGAAATCCCCGTTCTGCCAGCAATTGCAGGTCAATAACACCACTGTTTTTAATAATTCTGAAATTGCAAATCATTTCCACCAGTACTATACGTCTTCCTTTCAAGAAACTATAACTGGACTTCCAACGGATATTCTTCAATCTAGAATTTCTTCTTGCCTCACATCCATATCTCCAAGTATATATTCATTCGACAGACAGTTCAACTCAATATCAAATACAGATAATTACCATTTCGCCAATCCTGAAAAAATCAAAGAAATTATGCAAAAGGCCAATAATAAAAAGTCAAGTGGAGTTGATGGAATCTCAAATTTTGTTATGCGCAAATTTCCTGAAACTGCTCTGCGAATTATAACATGCATTTGTAATAACTCCATCAATAATGGCTACTTTCCCAAAATGTGGAAGCTAGCAAAAATTGTTCCAGTCCAAAAAAAGGCCAATAGCGAAAGTGTTGCTGATTATCGTCCGATCTCTCTCTTATCAAATCTCGGTAAAATCTTTGAACATGTCCTAAAAGAAAAAATAGAAAATGAGTTCACTACAAATCATATATCTAACTTTCAATTTGGTTTCCAACGAAAGCATTCAACACAGCACGCGCTTTTAAAGTTCCACAACGACACTACAGCAAATTTGAAAAACCGTATCAGTACTGTAGCCATATCCTTGGACATAGAAAAAGCCTTTGACTCCGTGTGCCACAAAGCAATTGTATATAAACTCATTGAACTGGGTGTGGACCCATTTTTAATCAAAATAATACAAAATTACCTTTCCGATCGTAAATTCTTTGTACAAATAAGAAACGACAAGTCAATCCTGGACTTCTTTTGTTCTGACAGCTGTTAACAAAATAATTCACAATAGTGCTGGGTTTGAGGTTGCCACACATTTTGTTAGCAAATGTATGAACGAGTGGCACGGTTTGTGTATTTTAAAATTACAATCATTTTCTATTTAATCAAATAAAAAAAAATATATATTAAAAGTTAAATATAAATAAATATTACTTCCACAATCATCGGCTGGACTTTTGTAATATTCCCGTCTAATTCCAATTTGTGGTTAATCTGCAAATGATCTTCCGTAAAGTAAGAATTGTAAAAGGTAACCTATCCGTAGAGGATCAGCAAAAGGTCTTCTATCGGTTTGTAAAATGACTTCTATTTGTAGATGTTCAGTCTATGGAGAATTAGTAAAATGTCCTGTAAAATGTTTAAATCTGTACAAAGAAACCCTTTCTATCTGTAGAATACGTGAAAATCCCTTGTATCTGCGAGTGACATGTAAAAGGTAATCCATTTATTTATTTTATTTATTTTTATTTCATCCATTTCTGTAATACAAAGCCTATAAGACCATATACAAGTATTACTAGTTACAAAATTAAACCTGAGCTTATAGTAATAATACAACTCTTTCATTTTACTAAAATACATAATTTTTACTTGGCTCCCCAGCCATCTATTATTAAGAAAAGAAAAATATATATATATAGCTGAACCCGGTACGCTTCGCTACCCCTTTTGATTTTATATGCATTCAAAATTTTATTTACGAATATATGTTAGGTAAAGAAAAACAAATTTAAAAATTAAAAAAAATATTGCACTAATTTAATGCGTTAATAAACAAAATCATTACAAAAGCAGTAACATGACATGCATACACGAAGGGTTTGTCCTTTGGATTTATTTATTTCATAGCAAATACCAAGCGTGCAGGAAACTGCAATTTTTTTAAGTAGAGTGGCATTTCTATTGCAAGTAGTGAATTCGAGATAGCAACATACTTCGCCGTAATAAGCGTATTTCAAATAAATTGTTGTGTTGTTTTTTAGTGTTAGCCTAAGGCGTTGTGGGTCAATGGTTCTTATTAAAGTCATATCCCAATCTGATCCGATTTAAATATAATTTAAAAAAAAATTACTTTTACACCAAACTCCGCCACACCTTTCATATTTAATTGAAATTGGTGCGTCAAAAATGTGAAATCGGCCGAGAATATACATATGGGAGCTATATCCAAATCTTAACTAATTTCCAATTAATTTATCACATTTATTATTATAACAAAATTCAGCCACACATTCTGAATTTCATTGGAATCGGTCATATATATCGTGTTTGGTGCATAATATGTATGAAATCGGCCGAAATATATATGTTAGCTATATCCAAACCTCAACTGATTTCAATATAATTTGGCAATTTTTGCTGGTGCCAGATTTTGTCTCTCTCTCTTTGGGTGCATCAAATATGTGAAATCGGCTGAGTATATATATGGAGCTATAATCACATCTGAGCGTATTTGAATATAATTTGTCAAATGTGCATCAAATATGTGAAATCGGCGGATAATATATATGGGAGCTATATCCAAATCTGAACCGATTTTAATATAATTTGACTAATTTATTTTCTAATCAAAATCCCGTTACATATTCCAAATTTCTTTGGAATCGAACATACATATCGTGTATGGTGCATGAAATACATGAAATCGGTCGAAAATATATATGAGAGCTATATCCAAATCTGAACCGATTTTAATATAATTTGACAAATGTATATTTGTTTTAATTTCCGCTACACATTTCAAATTTCATTGAAATTAGAGATACATAGCGTGTTTGGTGCATCAAATACATGAAATCGGTCGAAAATATATATGGGAGCTATATCCAAATCTGAACCGATTTCAATATAATTTGAAAAATTCATTTTTGCTCCCGATTCCGTTACTTATTTTAAATTTCATTAAATTTGGACATACATATCTTGTTTGGTCCACCAAATACATGAAATCGGCCGAAAATGTATATGGGAGCTATATCCAAATCTGAACCGATTTCAATATAATTTGGGAAATAAATTTTTTTAGATAAAATCTATCACACGTTTCAAATTTCATTGAAATTGGGGATACATAGCGTGTTTGGTGCATCAAATGCTTGAAATCGGCCGAAAATATATATGGGAGCTATTTCCAAATCTGAGCCGATTTCAATATAATTTGACAAATTTATTTTCGGATCAAATCCCGTCACATATTCCAAATTTCATTGGAATCGAACATTCATATTGTGTTTGAGGCATCAAATGAACGAAATCGGTCGAAAATATATATGGGAGCTATATCCAAATCTGAACCGATTACAATATAATTTAGCAAACTTATTTTTGTTCCAAATTCCGTTACACATTCCAAATTTGGAAACTGTATCTTTAACCGATCAATAGATATGTGCATATAAAATCTAAATTTTTGGGAGGTACCTCCGATTCTGATGCTATATCTCCAGTTCCAAGTGGAAATTCAAAAATGTATATAGCCTATGTTACTTTCAGGCGATGTTGCAGTATATATAGAAATTTTCAGAAAAATCTATTCAGCAGTTTTCGAGTCCATAAATTACAAACAAACAAACAAACAAACAAACAAACGTACAAACATTTTCCTCTTTTATAGATATAGATTAAAAATAAAATAATAAATAAATATTATTACCACAATCATCAGCTGGACTCTTGTTAATATTCCCGCCTAATTCCCGTTTGTGCTTAATGATCTTCCATAAAGTAAAAATTGTAAAAGGTAACCTATCCCTAGAGGATCTGCAAAAGGTCTTCTATCGGTGACTGTGAAATAAATTCTATATGTGAAATGACTTCAATTTGTAGGTGTTCAGTCTATGGAGAATCAGTAGAATGTCCTGTAAAATGTTTAATCAGCACAAAGAAGCTTTTTCTTCCTGTAGAATACGTGAAAATCCCTTGTATCTGTGAGAGACATGTAAAAGGTAATCCATTTATAGATGGCCTGCGAAAAGTTTTCTGTCTGTAGAAGTCCTGTGACATCATAAGAAGGTTTGTAAACATACTCTTCTATCTGTAGAAGTGTATAAAGAAGGTCTATCTAACGAATATCAGTAAAAGATCGTACAAATATTGGGTTCCTGTAAAATGTAGTCTCTCTGTATAAGACCTACGAGACCTCTATTAATGCAATACCTATAAGAAGATTTTTTTCTCTGTAGAAGATCTATGATAGGTAATATTTCTATATCTGTTGTCTTCTATCTACATTATAAAATAGTAGTAAAATAACAAACTGACGGAATGAGATTCAACACTCAGATGAAACGGCTGAAGCAAGAATCTGAACGGGGGTAAGTCTTGGTGCGTAGGCGTGTGATAATGTCTTTTTTTGTAATAAGGTTTTTGGTAATTCGTTCTAATAGGATAGGAAGAGTTGTAAAATATTACTAAACTTCTAAAAGGGACCATTTGGTATTATGTGAACGGTTTGATCCAAAAACTTGAGATTTCATATGGAGGTACGGTATTTCATATGATAGGTTCATGATAAAGAGGTAGTTTTGAAAATGTGTTCTACAAGTACAGGTTTTTTGCATCCTGGACATATGGAGGTGATTTCTAAATTTGGTATTGGGTCAAGACATGGAGCTGGAATCCTCAAATTTTATATCGAGGTCTCTCGGTCGAAAAGTACTAAATTAAGTATTGGGTGAA